TTCTGGAACGGAGCATCGGGCACGGCGCTGCAGAGCGTGCACACCGGCTCCCAGGTGTGCGGACTGCTTTGGTCCCCCTACGAGCGCGAGCTCCTCTCGTCCCACGGCTTTTCCCAGAACGAGCTCTGTCTCTGGAGCTACCCGCGCATGGCACGCCTGCGCGAGTTCACGGGCCACACGGCGCGCGTCCTGCACATTGCGCTCTCACCAGACGGCGGCTCGGTCGTTTCGGCGGCGGCTGACGAGACGCTGCGGTTCTGGAACGTCTTTACGCCCAAAGGCGCAACTCCGGCGCGGTTCGGGTCCACAGCGCACTTTTCGACCCACTGCGGCATCCGGTAGTTGAACCAACGATCAATCCCATGTCGAGCATGTACACACTGGGGCGGAGGGTGAAGCTTGTGAAGCATAGAGGCAACCAAGCGAACGAGACTACTACGTAGTATTAGTGCAGAAGAGCAGCAGAAAGAGTATCGGGATCCGATGCCTGGACCATTGTATCCGGATATGAGTTTTGATTTGGACCAGGGGACGATGAGTGGGATCTTCTCCTGGATTGCAGCTCAATCGACGACGGGTTAGCTAGCGAGGCCGCGAACGCTAACTGTAAAGCCATGAGCAAGATGACAAATTACGGGCGCGACGGGTTCCACGAAGCGCTTCGCCCAAGGGATGAGCTGTCGCAGATCCGCGTCGAGGGCGTCAATAACCTCGCCTCGTAGCCGCAGCCAGAGCTCCAAGCACTGCAGCTGCTAGCGCTGGCTGGTACCGCTGGTGTCATTCCCGCCGACAAGCGTAGCATCCTTAACGATGCGTGGTCAGACGACCTCGTCGACGAGATCCTCGCAGATATCCAGCGCGAGCTCTATGGTGCGTCACCAAGATGGCCACTGAGCGCTGCCTGTGGGAAGGATCCAACGTTCTAACAGGACTCTTGTCGTTTGTGTTTACGCCAACATCTCGGGCCACTGCGATTCCCCGCGCGCGGCGTCGACTATGATGCGGCTCATTGCCGATCAATACTCTGGCGGAGAGGAGAGCTTCGAGCCCTCGGTGGTCACCTTCAGTGGCCGCGCGCATCCACGGTCCCCGGCGTGCTTGGCACGGCCTCGTTCTTTGAGGCGTCGGCGCGTCGCTCGTTGGCGTTCGGCACAAGGTACCACGCGTCTTTAACACCACCTGCGTCTCACAGATTGACTAGCTTCCTGAATCGAGCAAGGTCTCTAGCCTGCCGCTGTTTGTGGGTCTCCTCCACCACATTGCGCGTGACTCCAGGAAACAGCATGCGCGCGCTCGTTCCGGACCAGCTCTGCACAGCCTTCTCAAGACGCCTCTGACACCGACGTCGTGGTTGACCAGACACACGACAGACTCGACGATTGTGGTTGTCGCTCGCTCTGACAAAGACGCGGACCGAGGCCATCTGGCCGCTTTCGGACGCAGCGCTCACGATGGAAACGGCCGGAGGATCCGTCTTGCTGCCGCCGCTTTGCCACAGCGTAGTGTTCCATATCGCGACTGCTGACGCGCGGGCTTCGAGTGCGATGTACCTTATTTAATATGCTGCCGCACGATTGGACGACGCATCAAACGCGTGCCCGCCTCGTCTCGGTCCCATAGGATGGGACAAGGCATAGTTCTTTTCTGAAAGCAATTTGCGCCAGCTATTCGCGCCGTGTCTCGACATTGTACTGAAGGAGGAGCTGGTGCCATTCCGGAGGCCGTCTCGAAGTGATCGACGCGCGATGCAAGGTGAAGATGTAGCGCCTGTCTGCCGCGACAAAGCGAAGGGAACCTGGCTTGGGTTGGCTCGCCGCTCTTTTGGGATGGCAGCTCAAGATGCACAGAGCAATCGAGAGACGTTGCGATCCTGGCAAGAGAAGGGGGTAGACAATGCGTCGCGCCCTCTCTCATCCGGTGGCTGGCTGCCAGCGCACGGCGACCTACAACTTGCCCCGCAAGGATGTCACTTTCCAATTTTCAAGGACAATGAGAGATGAAGAAGTCTCAAACGTCGAGTACATTTGTACACGGCTCGCATTAACCACTCGCATCGAGATGCTTCTTCCCGCAGACGCTTTTTCTCCGTTGCGCGTGGCAACCCGATGCGAGTGTTTGGTGCAAGCCGTGTACAAATGCACTCGACGTCTGGAACTTCTTCGTCTCTCATTGCCCTTGAAAATTGGAAAGTGACATCCTTGCGGGGCAAGTTGTAGGTCGCCGTGCGTAAGCCAGTCGATGGGCAGGGCAACGGAGCCTTACATTTTGGCCATGCACCGCTACCGCAGGTGTGATCTACGCGTACATACATACCGTTAACGCTCAACTCGTGTCCTAACCCGGAGTCTACATGCGGCTGCTCGCGCCGGCTGTCGTGCGCTGCACTCCTTTCTTTCGCCATATCTTTGTCGAGGTGCCGAGGTCTTGTGCGCTACACTATCTCGAAGTGCACTTTCTATCAATGCATCTAGTGGCACCGTTCACGAGCCGCAACAAGGATATTCAGGACGTCGTAGCTTTGACCCAAGAAGGTCGCCTTCAAGTTGGAGGACCTTTTTGTAAAAGCGTGTGGACCAACACATCATTCGTGCTCTACACCATTTGGGGTGACAGGTCTTCTCTTGTAGTACATTGTTTATGCACCAGAAACTTCCGTGGCTTTCCAGATCATAAATGGATGCGAAGTGTAGAGAGCGTGACTCGACCTCACGATGCCGCTGCCCGAAAGATTCTACCGCCAAGTGCTACACAGCTGTGGCGTGCGAGGCTGGCGTGTGCAATTGGACGACCCAATAGATGTGATTGTTGTTTGTTTATATATATATACAGTAGCTCTGCGTTAGCGCCGGAGGGGCGTCCAGAGTCGGCGCTGCTCGACAGCGCTTGACGCATTGCGTCGATGCTGCTCGAGGCGACTGGAGGAAGACGACGATGACTTGGCTTTCTTCGACTTCTTGAGCTCCGTGTGCGTCGTGTTACCGGCACAGTCGAGCGCGTCGGCTCCCGCGTATCGTTGACAGCGGCCACGAGCAACATGGGTCGGCCCACGATCGCAGCCATGGGGTCCGCGTACGCTGCATGTGGCGCCTCGGTGGCGTCGTTGTCGTATTGGCTCTTCTGTAGGGCAGGCTTGCGAGGGCGGCTTGTGTCGGCTTGTCTGGCAGTGGACCGGACTCCGCGCGCCGCCGAGCGCGATGCCCTCGTCTACGTACTTCTTGGTGCTGGCGGCGGCGTGGTCTCGTCGGGCGCAAAGAGGTCGATGGCCGGCGGCGTCGGCTTGGTCTTCTTGAGCGCCTCGACGCCGCCGTCGAGGTTCCGCTTGCACTTCTCGCGGAAGGCAGCGAGCTCTGCCTCTTTGTGCAGCCGCTGGTTGCGCGGACCTTCCCGATGTTCGCGCGCGTCCACACCACGTCTGTGCTTGCGGGTCCGCAGCCCGGCTCGTTTGGAACTCGATCTGGAATGGATGTTTTATTGGCTGAATTATTAATTCTTTCTAGCCAATCACAAGACTTGGTTCAGAACCTCGTCTCAAATAGTGTGAGAACCATTCAGCACAACGACGAGTAGCAGCCCACAGACGCGCCAGCGCCACACAGCAGCCGTGTATACATCTCCACACACCACTTGAATGACGTACATGCCATTTCCGACGCTGCACGTAGCGCAATCACGCGCAAATCCATTTTCCATTTTTGGAGGTGGTGGCAGAATTGCCCAAATACTTCACGTGACATCGCAGGGTTCCAAAGCTCCAAGGACTGTAAGACTGGCTGCCACAGTTGGCGATGGGTCTCGACCCGGTGTGCTACCAGTTTGTTGGGCGCCATCGTTGCTTGGGCACTCACAGCAAAGTCGAACTGCCAAGCGTCGGTTTTCGCGAAATTTGACATGCAATTTCGGTTGAAAATGCGTCGAAGTCTCGGAAACTGAGGACGCCATCTCATTTTGTTCATGTTAAAGAGCGTGTTGCATGTGGCCGATGGAGGCAAAGTTTGCGCGATACTGCTGCGTGATGAGGCCTTGTAACCCGTACAGTATTTCGGTATCGCGAAAATGCACACTATATCAAAATATTGGTTGCCGCTGTCATTTGCTCTCGCTATAGAGCTCGCACGGTGACGCCACATAGCATTTTGGACTCTCCAAATTGTGGTCTAGCGCTCTGGTAAGTATGGGCGATTTCATTTTCAAACTTCATTCTGGTCGATTCGCCGGCGCGGCGGCCTGTGTGCACCAAAATATGGTAATTATGGTAGTAAATGGCGAACGCCAATAATGGTGACCGACGCCAGAAAGACGACGCCGAGGCTCTCCGGGCACCACTGACGCTGCTGCAGTGTGCTCGAGGAGATTCCATCAGCATTCTCTATGCACACGCCATCACGAGATATCGCTCGGTCGCAATGCAGCGCTCCTCGTCGGTCTCCCACATTTTGGCCAACGCCAGGCGAAAGCGTTTCAGCCAATCAGAGAAAAATACCTTGAATTTTTGGCCAATCAGAGCGCCAAGCCTTTCACCTTCCAGCCAATTGCCAGTGTTCTTGCCGCAGTTCTCGAACCGATCATCGCCGGCAGCCCAGGCACGTGGTACGTGGCAAGCCGTGCCCAGGCCTCAGGCCGAGACGCTCACGCGACGTCGCTGTAGGTATGGCGCAGCTCATCCATGCGTGACGAGCCACAGAGTCGGCCCTTTGGCGGAGCCCTGGCCAATTTCTCGACGGCCTCACTCGCACGTTGGCCAGCGCGCGCGCCATCTCTCGGCACTGATTGCGATAGCTCGAGCTCGAGCATCACCCGCATGACGTTCTCCTGCTTGTACACTGCACCGAGCCGAGACTGCTGGCAGCGCCACGCCAACATATTGCTCGCGGCGAACCTCTCGCTCGACGTCGCCTGCGATCCGATCTGTGCTCGATCTGCCAACGAGTCAAGCTCGTAGCTTTGGCAGCCATCAACTTTGGCCGCACGCGCCCAGGGTCAACGGTGTCGACGCGAGCTTGGCATGGGCCTTAATCTTGACGGCGTCGGCGCAGCGCACTTTCGCGTCTGGCATTTGTTTTAGATTGCCGTCGTTGTCGCCGAAGTCGAGAGTCTCACTCAACAGCAAGCGTCGTACACTGCACAATTTCGTATTTTTCAGTCTTTCTCGTGGCGCGATTCCATCCAAACCAACGCCAGGTCGACCACATTGCGTTTGAAAATGAACTCGCCAAGATTTGGCACAGTTGTAGAGGGCGCTTTGGAGACCACAGAATGCGAGGTCGCGTCGACGAGCGAGGCGTACAGTGGCAGCGAGACGTGATCCAATATGCACTTTAAACTAAGATCGTAGTGCCAT